AAAGCCTCGTTGTAATCGTGGTAGTCACTCGAGCCAAATCTCGTGATAAGCTCCTTTTCGAAATCCCTCCATCGCATGTGCTCGCCATGATTTTTGTGCACCACCCATTGCCACCAAACGTTTGCTTCCCCATCAAGGTGATAGGCAGCAATTTGAACTCGTTCGTATCTTGGCACGTCATTGATCTCAAAAAATTGCACAGCCCGACTCAACCATGCATCTGGATCTGTTCCCATGAACGTGGGCATAGTAATTTTTGGCCGTGTGCCTGCCCGTTCGTCCAGTTTCTCATCGTGCTCGCGATGTTGGTTATCGCGCCCTTCGCGCCATCGCCGATCCTCGTCGTAGCGCTCTCGGTCGTCGCGCCGTGCTCGGCGTTCATCGCGTGTGGCCCGCGATGCGTACGATGCGTACGACTGTCGGTCGTAATCCTCCTCGTGCCTCGGGTGATGGTGTGCGCGTTCACCATGCCGTCGCCGGTCATCGCGTTGGTGATCCGCGTGTGAGTGCGAGCCCCGCGATCGGCGATCATCCTCGCGCTCGGTCCCGGTGCTCACTGCCATGGACCGTGACCCGTGCCTTCTCCTTGGCCGCGTGTTCATGCGCGCGAGTTGCCCGGCCAAGTCCTGAACCATGAGTTTGATCCTTCCCAAGTTCTCGTTGGTAGCATGTTGACCATCGCCGATGATCTTCATGTTGTCCTCCAAGGCTTGAATTATTTCACGGTTCGACATCATAAATTTTTTTTTTTTTTTTGACTCTAAAAAATCGAAAATAATAGGGAAAAATTCGAAAATTCGAAACCCCAACAAGACTCAAAAAAATCGAAACAAAAAGAAATTCAGCCCCTCAACAAAAGGTAATAACTGAAAAAATAACAAAGGACTAACAAGTTGACACTTTTTTTTTTTTTAATGAAATTTCGAAAAAAATTCGAAAATTTCGACTCAAAAAAGAAGAGAAATTCGGTCCATCACCAAAAGGCAAACCGAAAAAAATAAAAAGATAAGATAGACAAAATATCGATCAGCACCTCTCAATGAAAGCACAAATGATGACAAATCGATCTTTTGTCTATACTGGGTTGCGAATAAACGACGCACTGAGGCCTTCGTT